ACTGACAATAGACGAATGTTAATAAGCCTCTTCTCTTTAATCATATTATTAGATGAGAAGAATGGACAGGATCAACATCATCAACTACTTGCTGTAACTATTGAAACTATTGTAAACGAAGATGGTGAATGAACCAGAGATGAGATGAAAATGTTGATTCAATAAATTAACACCAGGATGAAGTCTGAAAAAAGTATAAAAAATACCACGTGATCAAATAGACTATTTTCTAGTTACATCTTAAATTTACAACTGTATTTTGTATATGATTTTGTATTTAGATATCTGTCCAATGTTGGTTTGGTAACATAGATGTTGCATCATATCGTTCACAGGTAGCAATTTAAGCATAACTGGTGGCGCTGTAATGGTCGGAAACCAGAATATAATGTATAATTACCAGCATGAAGTTGAACGTCGTGACTCAGCTCAAAAGGATAGTCATTCTATGGAATATCAAGCAGTTGTTTACGTGGGTCCTTCTCGTGAGTATATTATCCGACATTACGCCCCCCGGGGTGGGGGAACTCGAATTGGAGCGTTGGTTCACGGGCTCACATATAGTACAATAACATCAAAAGCAACCCATATTTGCAAGGGATTCGCCTTCTGATTGTCATGAATGGTGGCATACAGATTCGTCCCGGGGATTCGCCTTCTGATTGGCATGAATGGTGGCATACAGATTCGTCCCGGGGATTCGCCGATGGGTTCACAAATAAAATGAGAAAATCATTCAGAATTTTTTTGACAAAGGCACTATGCTAATTTATCACATCTCACTGCTGTTACGCATGCTATGATTGGTTGAGACTCGGTCACATGACATGGAATAAAAATGGATATTACATGGTATATTGCCCGCCAAGAGGATTTTACAATGATACTGCGCATAACAAATTGTCGTTCGCTGCACTGGTGCTGCTCTGGCCGCTGTTGCTTTCGGGGTTGCTTTCAGGGTTTTGAAGGAACTTTAGCCATCCGAAATAGACAGTGAACGTGCCAGAATGGATACTAAGTAAGATACTCTGTTTTGATGTATAGGGTATTTTTATATGGAGCGAAAATGTACGTGAGAAAGTAATTTCAGTCACTTCCACGGCACTCTGATATTTTTATCTGTAGAGTGATCAAATAACTTGCGTTTAAGAATTTCTCAATTCATTTCAAAAATGTTATTCTTGATAATTTGAGTGATCCACACTGCTGAAACACGGTTCAAATAAAAAGACTATCCATGGCTGAAAATTACATTTACTGAGTGTATTTCGTTGTTTTTCAGCAAACAATGTATGTATGTATGTTATTGAGTAATGTGAAACTTGTTATAATAGATAAAATAAAATATTGCATACTTCAATATAGGTGTTGTTATTTTGTGGGAGAGCGGGTGTGAGTGATGTATGGTAGTTGTGATTGTCATGGTGGATGTCTGTTCGATGTGATAAAATAAATAACACATGGTTATTCGGGCAATATCACGATTTGTTGTCTGCCCTCGGGTGAT